CGCAACTAGGCGATCGCAGTTAGCGATAATAGCTAGACGACTAATAAGCTAGGAGTTAAGTAGCTAAAGTACTTTATTAAGTATATAGATAGTAAGGTTATTAGAGTACGCCAGCTACTTATCCTTAACGGCTATAAGAGCTACTAGTTACTTAAGTTCTAAGAGCTCTATAAGAAGAATAATATTTATACACTCTATATACTACTATACTTATCTTATCTACTCTAGCCTCTTAACGTTAGCTACTTCTCGCCGTTAAAGCGCGTATATAGTTATAAGGTAGAGAGCCTAATACGTAACTATATTAACTATATTACTAAGCTCGAGTTGCTGCTAGCGTTTAAGATAGCCTTTAATCGATCTTTTACACTAACTAATATCTGCATAGCCTTTTAAGGCGCAGGTATTATTCCTTTTTAGCTAGACGCTGTTCTATTAAAGCTAGACGTGTAGCTACGTACGTCTACTCTACTAGCTATTCTAGTAGAGGCTCTCTAGCAGGCTCGTACGCCTAGTAACACACGCGAGCTTAAAGCTCAATTAATATTAATACGTAATCGCGTTTAGTAGCATTAAGACTTATCGCTAGCTTTAATTATTACGGCAATTAACCAGCTTAAGAAGGGGGTAGAAGTAATAATGCTCTCAGCTGAGCTAATACGCGATCGAATTGCTACTCTTAAGAGAGCTAATATAGTAGTATTAGAGCGTCGAAAGCGTAAGAAAAAGCGGATATAGAAGCGAGAAGTCCTTACAAAGGGAGCTAGAGAGGATATACTCGCTTAACGCGAGGCCGATAAGTAGATTGCTTATAAAGAGCGTTAGAGTAAGAAGTAATTAGGTGTTAGCCGCCGAGCTATAACGCGCTGTAGTAGATGTAAAGAGACTAGCTATAACTTACGTACATGTAAGAAAGATACTCTAGATACTAATTAATCTACTATATTAATATCTATTAAAATTATTAATATATAGTAGAGCTATACGCTTGTAGAGGTGTACAGAGTTAGTAGAGTGCGCCGCTCACTTGCCTACGCCGCTCGCTTACCATACACATTAAGTATAATAGAAATCTACTTCTTTAGATTATCTAATAAAGTACTAAACCTATAGTTTAAGAAAAGCTTATAAGAGTATAGTATATTATAAATTTAATCTATAATAGCTAATCTTTACTTAGACTATAGTAGAATTTTTACTTATAGCTATTACGTATATCTACTAGATTTAGAGCGTATAGTAGGGCGAGATAAGAAAGAGTTTAAAGTTAATTAAAGAGCCTATATTAGATACTTAGTTAATATATTATATCTAATATATACTTAGTATAGGTACTAATACTTACTTATATAATTATAACGTATAATATAATCTTTAATAAGAGACTATTTTATAAGGGTAAGAAAGATAAAGAAATACTTAAAGATAAAGGAGTAAGAATTATTAATATATTATATAATAGTAAGTTGGAGAATTCTAGGCTAGAGATAGATAATTTACTACTAATTAAGAAAAGAGAAGTAGTAGGAGAAGAACTAATTACTAATAGAGAAATTAGTAATAAGCTAGTAAATAATTATAAAATATAGACTAGCTCGTTTAGTAATTATAATTATATAATAGTAGAATCTATATAAAGTATAAGCGTAGCTAGAAAGTACTTAGAAATTCGTGCGGATTAGAAATCTACTTCTATACTTCTTACTCTAGAGTAAACTCTAGTGATAGAAATATAAAGAGGAAGAGGATTTAATCACTATAAGAAAGTGTACCTACCTAAGAGAGCTAGATTATTATAGCCTATAGTGCGTTCTTAATAAGAGTAACTACTAAGAGGTTAAGAGTAGGAGTACTCTTCTTAGCTAGATAATTATACTAGTCGCGTAAACTCTAAGGCGCTAAGTAAGTCTAATAAAAGATACCTACTTACGTAATAGAGTGAAAAGATTAGGTAAGAAGTAATCGAGATTAATAGATCTTTAAATAGATATTTACTAGTATAGCGTAAGCGTAAGGACTTAAATTCTAATAATTAACTAGAGAATAAGATATCTAATTATATATATATTAATTACTAGACGAAAGAGATTAGAGAATATATAGAATAATGTCTATTATACCTTTAATTTAAGAGTTGTATGTAAATAGAATAAGTAGTAGTACTATAAGATACTAAGTATAATAATTATAGTATGAGCGCTTAAGAAAGCGATACTATAAGTATTATAAAATTATTTTTATAGGGATGATCTTACTAACTCTCTAAATATATAGAAGTATTTAATACTATATTTACTTAAAACCTTATTCTATAAAGTAGCGTAAATAGAGGTTAAGACTCTACGTAATAAAAAGACCTAGACTAAAATTAATAAACTAAGAGTAATAGATTAGACTTATTACCAACTTCTAATAAAGTAGGTATAGATCTATAAGTTTAATTAAGATAAGTATTTTCTAAAATATAAGGTAGAAATAATTATAAGGGGTAATCTTTAGAAGAAAGGCGTACTAAAAATAATCTATAATATATTATTAGCTATAATGTCTTTTTATAAAGTATTAGTTATAGTAGTAGAGTTTAATCTAGAGATTAGATAATATAATATTAAAGGAGAATTTCTCAATATAAAAATTATAATCGTAAATTTAGTAGTCTATAAGTTACGAAATAGATTGAAGAAAGAATAAATATATATCTAACTTAATTATATGTTATATATATAAGCTAAGAGACTCTTTAAATTTCTAGTATAAAGAGCTTATACAATTACTATAAGAAATAAAGCTATAAGCCTTATATAAGAACTTATATCTCTTCTTTAATTAGGATTAAACGGTATAAGTATTATTATATATTAATAACACTCTTATTTTATATTATAATAATAATATGTAAAGAGCTATATAGATATAGAATTATATTATATTAGAGTATAAGATAAAAGATTAAGAGCTAGTAGAATAGCTCTTAGGAGTGCGCGTAATAAGAAATTATATTAATTAAAGAATTATATAAGTCTATATTATATATATTAATAAGATTATAAAGAAGTTTAGTTTAGATAATTAGGCATTTCCACTAACTCTACTATTATGTAGGGAGCTAGTTAAGAATAAAGGTAAGGCAATCATGTAATCAATTAAAGTATATTAAGAAAAAGTTAGTTTAGTATTTTATACTATCAATATACTTAGACTAAATATTACGTTTGCTATATTAAAGTTAATATACTTCTTAACTAACTTAGGTAATTAGTATATAAAGGTAGTTAAGCGTATTATTATTTACCTATATTAGACGCGCTATAACGCGATCTGGTATAGAGATTTTAATAGAGTAAACCTAATTATCTATAGTAATATAATATTCGCGGATAATCTAGAAACGCACTACGTATTATATAGATATATTATAATATTATATAGTAGAGTAATATTTTAGAAGGCTACTAAATAAAATATAGTTACTACGTTAACTACTAAGATAGAACTTCTTAGGCTGGAATACGTATCTAAACAAATAATAGTAATTAAAAGATTCTTAGAAGAACAACTAATAAATTTAGAAGAGTTCTAGACTATAGAGTATAATAATTAATAGATAATTAGATTAGTAGTTAGAAAAAATCAGCGTATTACTACTAGGCTTTACGATATAGATATCTAAAATATATAGTTAAGATAGGAATATACAAAAGGATTATTCTAAGTATTATATTTAGAAATATATTTTATACCTATAGCTAGATTAACTACATTACTAACTTTTTAATAGTTTATTACGTTTAAGAAGCTGCTTAATATCTAAAACGCTTGTAAAATAATTATTAACCTAGAGAAAGCATTATTCAAAGACTAAAGAGCTAGCAACTATAAGTAAATAAGAGTAAAAGGTAAGTAATTATAATATTTATCTCTTTTTTTGTATACCTTAACTCTATATAAAAATAACTTATTATAAACTACTACTAAGATAAAGAAATATTAAGAACTAGGTAATCTTATCTAAGAAAGCTAAGAGAGAGAACTAATACTTAAACTCGCGAGTAGCTATATTAGCTAACTTTTTCTACTTTTCTATATCTCTCCTAAGCTTATTAATTTAATTACGTAAAAACTTTACGCGTGACTAATAAGCTAAGATAAAGTCTTAATAATTCTAAGTAGTAAATAATTTATTCTTAATCTTCTTCTTAAAGCTCTTCTTAAAACTATACTTAGTAGTTCGCTTAATAAAAAACTTTATAGAGCTCTAAGTAGATAGCTAATTATAAGAAGCTATACGTATTAAGTAACTAGAGAATAGAGAAGTAATCTACTTTATAGTAAAGACCAGAACGTTTTAAAAAGAGAATAGAGTACTAGTATTACTAAAGAATAACTAGTACTCTTCTTATCCTAATAGAGTAGCTAAATATATAGAATGAATGTACTAATTACTTTACCTCTAAGGTTAGAATAGAGTCTTATATATAGGTAAGTTAGATTTATTGTAATAATAATCTATAACTTAACTTATATTAATAACTAAACTTATAATTTAACTAAGAAATACTAAAATAAGAAGTAGAGAAAGTATACCTATCTAAGTACTCCTAATAGTACTTACTTAGCGTCTAATATATAGATAATTAGTAAAATTTCTTAGTATAGATTAGAGAAGAGAGAGTAGTAAGATAAGATACAGAGGCGTAATAGCTTAGAGGTAGAAGAGTAAACGCTTTCTTTAAAGAGATTATTATTAGAATAGCTTAATTAGCCTTTCTTAAAGTTAATAATCTTACTAAGTAGAGTAAAGCTCTGATTATAAACATTAATAAACTAAATAGTTAAAATTAGTATAGTTTAGTTATTTATAAAGAGTAACTAACTTATATTAGCTCTTATAAGCGCTTTCTACCTCTAATAGAATATATTTAGTAATTTAAGATACTATTTAGTAGAATAATATATATAATAAGAAATATGAAACTTAAAGTTATTATAGTAGATTCTATTATAAATACTACGTAAACTATATTTAGTATACATATAGTAAAGGTAGCGTTAATACGCGCTATAAGAAGAACTAATAATAATGTTAGCTTAGGTTACTAAATAACTAGAGCGGGTCTAAATATTAGGCATATTCTCAGAAGTATCCTTAGTCTTACTAGATCTTTTATAAGAAGATAGCTAAGATAAAGTATTAGTATTAATAAAACTAGAAGTAAGATTAATAATCTTAAAATAAATTTAAGATATAATGATAAGCGAAGTTTTAATCTTCTCTATATTAGATTGAAAGATTGTATAACTTAATTTATAACTATAATCTCTAAAGATTATAAGAGACTAATCGCGAGTAAATTAATAAGGTAAAATTAGCTAGCTAAGCGTATTATACTCTAAGTTCTAAACTTATAAAATAGGAAGATTAATAATATAAAGCTACTTATTAGAGAACTTAATAAACTTTTAGTTAAAGATATAAGTGTAAATCTAAAGATAAGTTTTAATAGTAGTATAACTCTACTTAAAAATCTTTTAATCTATTATATTACGCGTTATATAGAAAGTCCGTATAAAGAAGCGTAAAGCCTTATTATTATAGTAAAGTAAATTAAAAAAGATAAGAACATATACTATAGTAAGCTAGCGGTAGAATTAGCTATAATAGACGAAGAAAAAAAGCTAGCAATTAATATAGTATTAATCTAAAGAATAAGAAAAATAAGTAGTTGAAGCTATAGTAGTAGAGAGGTATAGACGTTTATAGTTTATATAGTAGAGTAGAGAAAAGAAAGTTAGAACAAGTAGAGAGAGAACTAATATACTACCCAGAATTAGTAAATAATAGTAATACTAAGTAAACCTCTTTTACTAACTTTTCTCTTAATAAGTAGCTTAATTAATCTGCCTTTACTATAGTAACTAATTAAATTACATAAGTCTTATTATAATAACTTAAGTAAGAAACGCTAACTTAAATATAGTTAGTAAATTACTATCAAAGAGAGTAAAAATTAACTAGAAAGTCAAATTAATCTAATTAGAAAAACTAATCTTATAGTCGCTATAATAAGTAACTAAATAAGTAATAGGAATTTAGAAATTCTATTACTACTTAGTATTAGCTAGAGGGATATGGTAAGAGAATCTTAAATATAAAAATATAAAATAGTTAATACCTAGACGCTAAGAGTCTTATAGGCGTACGTAATACTAAGTACTATATAAAGTTACTAGTAAAGGATTAACTAAGATATACGCTAAGTTAATAAAAATTAGAATAAGATACGTCTATACTAATTACTATTATAAAGATTAAAAAGAGCTTAGGCGTAACTCTTAGAATCGTATAAGGCTCTAAGAAACAAAAGTAATACTAAAACTATAGCGTTAATGTTTATACTTCTACTAGTTATATGCTATAAAAAGAAAATAGAGAATATCTAATATAAAATACTGTAAAAAACGCGAAGACTAAGACGAGGATTGATAAGAGCTATAAGACGTACTTAAGAAATAAAAAAAATATAAGGTTCTACATAAGTAGTAGTTAGTAGATTACTTTAGTGTTAAAATTATAGATACCTTAGGGCTTAATTAGATATGTCTTGATTAGAAGTATAGTTTTCTAATCTATTAAGCCTCTATTAGCCTTAGATTATATAAGTAGGCTTAATAGTAGTTTCTAGTAAAGTACAATCTTAGAAGTAATTACGCTTAATAAGTAGATTAAATAGATGCTAATATTATATAATAAAGTAGGAAGAATTAGTTAACTATTCCTTAAAGTATAAGAGAGAGAGTAGATACTACTTAGAAACGTTAGACTAGTAATAAACTATAATATTCTAATAAAAGAATTAATACCTTTAAGAGTATATTTTAACTATAGAATAATAAGACAACCTCTAGTCTAAGAGAGTATATCGCAGAACTAATAAGTAAGTTAATTAGTAACTAACCTAACCTAGATTATATAATCTTTCTAACGTGTTCTATCAGTAAGCTGGCCGTATCAGTAAGCTGGCCGCCCCACTAAAATTGACGCGACGCTCTACACCACCACCACAATGCCGCGATAATAACGCTCTATATAGACTTCTCGTAAAGGTAGACTAAGCCTTACTATCGCATCCTATTATAATAATCTAAAAAGTTCTATCTACTCTCTTGCGAAAGCGTATGACGTGCTAAAATTAAAACTCTAGACGCGTCTCTGCGGTGTCTAGCTACGGTTAGAGATTACGTCTACTAGGCGTAAGCTATCACTTATTAAAGAGCAGTCTCTTGTTTAGTAGATTCTAGAGCTTGACCGACGTGGATTTCCACCACATATCATTGACGTACGACGAATGGCAGACACTCTACTCGCCGCGCGTGGCTAGAATCTACCACCACTACCTATAGGCAAATGCTGGGTGCCGCGCTTTATTTAGAGCCAGCTAGAGCTTTAGATAAAGTGGAGTTGGAGATTCTATAGCTAGCGCGCCCAGTATAAGGATTCTGTCGTAATTACAGCGTGGTTTAAGCTAGTAGAGGAGACGCGCTAGGCGTACGGCGTTCTAGACCAGGATATCTATAACTTTGACGAGACTAGATTCGCTATAGGCGTCGCTGCAACGTCGAAAGTCGTAACTAGCTCTAATAGAGTTGGTTGGGCAGTTGTCGTATAGCTAGGCAATCGTGAGTGGGTAATAGCAATTGAGTGCGTTAACGCGTTTAGCTGGTCTCTTCTACCTTTTATAATTCTGTGTAGTAAAGTCCACCAGAGTAGCTGGTATCACGACCTCCTATTAGAATGAACTATCAGCGTCTCAGACAATGGCTGGACAATAGACGAGCTTAGCGTAGAGTGGGTGAAGCACTTTAACTGATATACAGCGTCTCGTACAGCTAGAGTCCATCGTCTTCTTATTCTAGATGGCTACGGCAGCCACGCTATACTAGAATTCAACTAGTACTGTGCTGAGAATAAGATTATCACTCTCTGCATGCCGCCTTACACGTCTTATCTCCTCTAGCCGCTTAATGTAAGCTGCTTCTCGCCTTTTAAGCGCGCATATAGGCGTGAGATTAAGGAGCTCGCCCGCTAAGGCGTCTACTACGTTAATAAGATAGACTTTCTCACTATCTATATATAGATCCGGCCGAGAGTCTTCACGCAGTAGAATATCTAGGTAGGCTTTTAGGTGATAGGCCTTGTCCCTCTCTATTCTAAGCGTGTCCTATCGTCGCTTATAGTTGTCCGTATGCCATCTCTACTATAGACAACTATAGATAATAACGCCGTAACGTAGGCAGAAACACCGCATATAGTAGCTTAGCTTCAGCAGCAGGTGCGCTATCTCTAAGAGCGACTATACTGGTAGTTAGAGAGTCTAATAAGCATTTCTATACGCCAGCTTACTAAGAGCGCTTAGCTTATAATGTAATTAGTAATAATACTCGTAGAGGAGAATAAGAAGCTACGTACAGTTAATAAGCGCTAATAATAAAAGTAAGACCGGCGCCGTTAATATATCGCCTCTAGCGGGGTGCTTTAGGTGTAGTAGGCTTAGCAGCTTACTATAGAGGCAGAAAGGTTGGTTATGGGCAGTGACTAGAACCAGACTGGTGAGCGACGCCAGCGCGCGCCGCCAACGTGCACGAAATGCTACACTGTAGGACATACTCGGACGTCATGCAGGACTAGATCATGAATTATATCTCTTAATTATCTCCAAAAATATTACGTTGTTGTGGCTTAATTGCGTAAAACGTCGCGTCAATTTTGGTGGGGCGGCCAGCTTACTAATACGGCCAGCTTACTGATAGAACACGTTAATCCTTTAATCTTTTTAATCTTATTAGATAGAGGAATAGTAGATTAGATAAAGACGAAGATAGATTACTAAATAGAGTTAGACTTAGTTAAATAAGTATAAAGTCAAACCAATCCACTAATCTAGATTAGTAAATTAATCCGTCCATTATTCTTAATATATTCTATTTTTTCAAAGTTCTTCAGCCTTTATACTATATTAAAAAGGTATTTACCTTATTTTAACGTTCTCGTTATTAAAACAGATATATAGCCTTTAAAGAAAGCTATCTTAAGTAATGTAGATTAATTAATCTAATTTAATAGTTGAGATACTAAGACACTTAGATATACTATAAGGGGAAAAAACATACTCAAAAAAGTTAATGTTTTTAAAATAATATATCTCAGTGGCTAAATAAGCTATAGTAGCAGGAAAAGAATCTATGTTAGAGAGTATTGAGAAGTTTATATTAGTCGTAAAATAGTATCCGTAGTAAGCATACCTGCTTAGTCATATCATCGTGAATCTAGAGGACAATAATTAAATAACTTTATTAGCATTTTTCGCGCTGCTAATTTTAAATAATTATATATATATTATATTAGATAGATACTAGACTTTCTAGATTACATAAGTCTACATATATTATTTATTGTTATATATATAGATATTAAGAAAATCTGGTAATATATGTTGGAATAAGGAGGGTGCTACTTGTTCTATAGCTAGCTCAGAGGTAGAGTCGTCTACTTGTCTAGCGATAGACTCAGAGATAGCGAATCGATAGGTTCTAGGATGAAAAGAGAGAAACAATGCTAGGGGAGAGAGATTGAAGAACTAGATTGATCCGATCTTATCTTGTTGTCTGCACTAGTAGTCTACTTTGTGCTTGTAATCTGCTCTGCGTTCTATCTAGTATTCCTATCACTAGTATTTATACTAGCTAGTAGCGATAGATTACGTTTTATACACGTAATCTTTATTTATCTCTTACGCTACTAATACACTCGTAATACACTAGTAGTATGATAGTATAGATCGCTAGGGTATAGCGATCTAGTCGATTGATAGATCGATCTTATCAGAGATTAGCTAAGTAGCTTAGATCTCTAACAATACATATCTAGAGTCTAAGTCACGTGATTAATATCTATCTAAGCTGTTGGTAATATTATAGTATATATTTATTTCTTTAAATATCTAGACACTTTATTACCTATTTCCTTACTATGCAGCCAAAATTATCTAAGTTCGAATCTAACGTCTATCGTTTATTTAAGGTAGATATAGCTATTAAAGACATGATTAAATCCTTTAATAAACCTTGAACCTCTCTCTACGACGCTATTTATCGAGTTAAAAAGAAAAAAAAGATATTAATATTAAAGAAAGAGCTCGTAGAGGCAGAATCTCAAAAGTATCTTCCAGATTAAAAAGAGCTATCAATAGAGATATAACTAGAAGTTCTAAAAAGATAAATTAGAGAATTCTAGAAGAGAATAATCTAGATATTTCGTCTAGGTCGCTTCGAAGAGTTCTAAGAGCTAAAGGTTAGACAGTTAATACCTACTCTAAAAAGTCTATTTTCAACGCTAAAAAGCTAAAAATAGACTAGCGTAGGCTAAAAATAGATTGAAAGAGCTAGGAAATATTAACTTTAGTAGGATTATACTCTTAGATAAGTTGGGAATATAAAGGTATGAAGGAGCTTAGTCACAATATGCGAGAAAACGCGGAAATCAGCAGCTAGGGCAAAATCTAGCTAAGAGCAGAACAAAAAGTACGTTTAATTATTTAATATATATATATCTAATATTAGCTAATTACTAAAAGATATATAGGCCATGAGATTACTATCTAAGTCTGGGGAGCTATATAGATAGATAGACGATTAGATCTAGCAGTAATTAAGACGCTAAAGACGACTATTTCTTATTAAAATCACTATCATATCCGAAATTGCCTTATCCCGCACATTAAACCTAGACTTAAGAGAGGTAAGAAACTCTAACTATTTGTTAATATATATATATTTATATCTAACTATTATATATTATTTTACTATTATAGAGTAATCCAGGCTAGAATTTTTAGCAATATAAAGCTACTATCTACTCTGCTAGTAACGTCTAAAGCTAGTTTACAAAAAACTACGTTAAGCTTTTTTATTATCCGCTTTACGGTCCTAACTTAAATCTTATAGAAAATATATAGAGTATACTTAAAAATAGACTATCTAAATTATCTAGTAGTCTATTAGGAAAGAGAGCTAGTGAAAGAGATATAAATAGCTTTATTAAAGCTATTCAGTAACAGTGGCAGAAGATACTATAACAGGATATAGATAAAAGTATTCTATTGTTACTAAGACGCTATTAGGCTGTAGTGGATGCTAAAGAGTAGTATACTAAGTATTAGTAGCTAGCTATTATCTATCTATTTTAATATATTGTCCAAAGTCTATATATATATATATCTTCTACTTTTACTATAACGTATTCTACCACCGAGTGTACCACCCCACTAAGTGTGCTACCTTTTCTTATCATCGCGAACTTTATATATAAAAACTTAAATTACTCCATACTAGCTATAGATACTTTATATAACTTACTTATATCTAAAGAAGAATTTTCTTCTATATCTTTTTAGTACGTATAAGAGTTATAGCCTGTCCTTCTATAAGTTCTATAGCGCTATCAACCTAGTAGAGCTCTTTCTTAACTACTCTTACTACGTGCCTTCTTTAATATTGTATAACTAATAGAACTACTTTTAGCTATATATAATGCCCCTATACTAAAGTCTAGTATCTTACCTATCTAAGTTCGCTTCCTTTTACGCCCCCGTTACTTTATTATTACTACTAGTTAATTACTCTTTAAACTCTCGTACGTAGGCCTTTGTAAGTATATTTTTATATAGTATCTTCATAGCTCTCTTAATAAGCTTTAAGAAGCTTTCTTATATAGTAGTTAGTAATCGTATAAAGGATTCTTTTATAAGCTTTAACTATAATCTAAATTTATACTAATTACTAGGTATTTTAGACTACTAAAGTGTTTCTAGCTAGACTCTCTATAGTAGAGTATAAAGGCGTACGTTAAGGCGATTAATAACTCTCTACGCGTTAATAGGGACTAGCCCTACTACCTTAAAGGCCTTCTTATAGTTATTAGACGTAAACACGTAATAAAACGCGTCTTAAAAGGCTAGTAGAAAGCGTTTCTTATTAATATACTAGACGTAGTAGCGTGCTAAGTCTCCTACGCGTTAGGATTACTTCTACTTAAGAGGCGAAAAGTAGACAATATTAAGCGGCTAGAGTATATATAATAAATAAGTAGGTATATAAAGAGTAAGGATCTTTCGTATAACGTAGTAATTCTTAAATTCTTAGTTTAGATAGCTCTTATAGCTGTTAAGAATAAGCAGCCTATATAACCCTACCTAACGCGTCTTTATATCCTTATTAAAGTGCTTTAACTACTTAAGACTAAGTATATTATTTATCTAGCTATTCTATAATACTAAGAGCTTCTAATTATATAACGTGCTGGATAAGCGAGTTGGCCAGGCAAGCGAGTTGGCCACCCCACCAAGTTTGCGCACGCGGTTTAACTCTATACACAACCACTCCACGCAGTATATTCTAAATGCCTTCAAATGAAACAGATATTCAGCTTGCTATCTCTTCTCTTAATGCTCATTAAATCCAGAGCAACCGACGTGCAGCAGCAACATTTAATGTGACACGATCAACGCTACAGAACAGGCGCAATGGGAAGCCTGCCCGACGCGATTGCCAGCCCAACTTAAAGAAGCTTACCAAGCTAGAAGAGGAGGTAATAGTTAATTATATACTTGATCTAGATCTACGCGGATTTTCGCCTACCTACGTAGCTGTGCGCGATATGGCCGATAGACTGTTAGCTGCGCGTGGTGCTGGCTAGGTTGGGCAGAAGTGGCTAGCCAACTTCGTTAAGCGTACAGACAGACTTGCGACGCGTTTTAATCGGGCGTACGATAGGTAGAGAGCTCTATGTGAAGATTTAGTCTTAATTAAGAGCTGGTTTAAGCTTATAGAGCAGATAAAGGCTAAGTACGGTATTTGTGACGAAGACGTCTACAACTTTGACGAAGCTGGCTTCTTAATGGGTAAGATTACTACTTAGCTCGTCATTACAGCGTTAGAAAGAAGAGCCCGACCAAAAGCTGTCTAGCTAGGTGGTCGTGAGTGGGTGACGTTTATCGCTGGGATTAACGCAGCTGGCTGGTCTATCCCACCGTTTCTGATCTTTACTGGCAAGCACTACCTATCTGCCTGGTACGAGGAGGCAGAGATCCCGCGCGACTGGGTGATCGTAGTTAGCGATAATGGCTGGACGAACAACGAGCTAGGTGTTGCATGGATAAAGCACTTCGACGCCCACACGAAGACTCGTGTTGTTGGTACACGTCGTCTACTTATTCTTGACGGCCACGAGAGCCACCACTCTCTTGAATTCCAAGAGTTCTGTAAGGAGAAGAATATCTACACTCTCTGTATGCCGCCTCATTCATCTCACCTACTCTAGCCTCTTGATGTTGGCTGCTTCTCGCCATTGAAGCGCGCGTACAGCCGCGAGGTGGAGAGTCTAATCCGTTACCACATCAACCACATCACTAAGCTTGAGTTTCTGCCAGCGTTTAAGGTGGCGTTTGATTGATCCTTTACGCCAGCCAATATCTGCTCAGCTTTTCGAGGCGCAGGCATTGTTCCTCTCTAGCTAGATACTGTGCTATCAAAGCTTGACGTGTAGCTGCGTACGCCTACTCCACCAGCTATTCTACCAGAGGCTCTCTGGTAGGCTCGTACGCCCAGCAACACGCGCGAGCTTGAAGCTCAATCGACACTAATACGTGATCGCGTTCAGAGGCATCAAGGCTTATTACTAGCTTCAATTATCGCGGCGATTAACCAGCTTAAGAAGGGAGCTGAGGTAATGATACTCTTAGCTGAGCTGATGCGGGATCGGATAGCTAGCCTCGAGAAAGCTAATACAGCAGTATTAGAGCGTAGAAAACGTAAGAAAAAGCGGATACAGAAGCGTGGAGTCCTTACAAAGGGAGCCGGCGAGGATCTACTCGCTTAGCGCGAGGCTGATTAGCAGATTGCTTATGAAGAGCGTCAAGGAGGGGAGCGATCAGGTGTTAGCCGCCAGGCTCTAGCGCGGTGTAGCAGGTGTAGAGAGACTGGTCATAATTCGCGTACATGCAAAAAAGATACTCTAGATACTACTTAGTCCACTCTATTACTCTCTATATATTATAATATTGCGTTGTTGAGATATACGTTCATAAAGATGCGCAAACTTGGTGGGGTGGCCAACTCGCTTGCCTGGCCAACTCGCTTATCCAGCACGTTAGTATATCTACTTCTTTGTACTATATAGAGATATAGACGCGTTCTTTATAGATAATAAATAGTAGGGTAGTATATTCTACCGCGTAGATACTTTAGATAATAGTAACCTACTTGCGATTACCTAGCTAAGTAAGTATAGGTCTCGTATAACGCTCTAAACCTATAACTACCTTTATTAAGCTAATTACGCCTATCTAAAAGCTAGTTTTATTAAAGTTATAGATATGATCTAAATAAACTCTATACTTCTTAATAATCTCTCGTACAAGCTTAAACCACGCGTTAATTATCTCTAGGTCCTCTTACTAAATTCTCTAACGATTCTTTACTTAATAAAAGGCTGTTCTAAGCTTATCTATATAAGATACGAACCGCTCTAGCTAGTTCTTACTTAAAGGCTGGCCATCTCGTACTTATAGTAGTTTTTCTGCTATATCTACTACTTTATATAGATAGAGAGCAAATCCTTAGAAGTCTAGGTTAAGAATATATTACACGATAGTTTACTCTTTAGATTTAGTTAGCTTCTAGCAATTTAGCTGCGTTATAAGTTAAAGGTAATTCTTTAAAGCCGCTAAGAGATCTACTAATAATAGATATTATAGGCTGCTATAGCGCGTTAAAGGCTCTTAAATTAGCCTATACGATAGGCCTAAATAGCTAGAGTAATTCTACCTTCTTACTAAGTAAATATTACGTTCTATTGTTAAGGTATTATCTTTCGTACGTAAAGTTCGCGATGCTAAGAAAAAGTGGCATACTCGGTGAGGTGGCACACTCGGTGGTGCTTTACGTTATACTATAACTATTTATTATATATATATTATTTATAAGTCTATTAGTCTTTATATACAGAATAATATATATAAATATCTATAAATAGCAGCTCAAAAAATGCTAATAAAGTTGTTTAATCTTTTTTCTCTAGATTCATGACGATATTACTAAGCAGATATACCTACTAAGGATACTATTATACTACTAATATAAACCTCTAGATGTTCTCTATACTACGTTTGTTTCTTACTACTATAGCTTATTTAGACTCCGAGTTATATTATTTTAAGAAATTTAACTTTTTCGAGTACGTTTTTTTTATCCCCCCCCTATATCTAGATCTTTAATCTCTAGATCTAATATATCTTATAGATTATAGAATAGACTCTTAACCTTTTACTTATTTTCTCTAAATATAAGTAGATTATCTACGTACGTAGCGATTATAATCTTCTAATCGTAATCAATATATATAGCTATATTAATAGATAGAGATTAAAATCGTAGCTGGCCTAGTAGGCTTACTAGTAGCTTCTACTATTATCTACTAGCTTATTTTAATCCATATAGTGCCTTATTAAGTAGGTAGACGTGCTAAGAGTATTATAGATCTAAAAATCCTTCTAGTTGCTAAATAAAAATTATTATATCAATAAGAGCATTTAGAAAAGCTTATTTAATATCTTAGCTTTGAATAATCTAGTCTTAGGCTGTAGCTATCGCTAGTAGTAATCGAATAAGATTAGGCCTAGTAGTATTAGCGAACGTTTCCTAATAGTTAATACTAAATTCTTATTAAAAAATTTAGTTACCTAATGAGCTTAAAAGATATAATTATTATTTTATTAGTATTTTTAGTTAAGTACCTAATAACTTTCAAGAACTAGATAGCTAGTAGGCCATAGCACGAGCGTCTAGGTATTGTTTTTCTATAGTTAATCTAGCTCTTTTTATATTACTAATATATCTAATTAGTTTAATAGATATCGCGAATTAAAGTAAAGATTGAGATCTTCTGAGCGTATTGTCTCTTAGTTAGTAGCTTACTAGAATAAGTAATTAGACTATAATTCTTAGTAAATTAGAATTCTTCTGCTTTTTAGACGACTTAATAGACACTTAATGAATTAACTTAAAAGTCTAGTATAGGAAGTACTTCTTTTAGTACTACTAATCTACTAGTGCTAGTAAACGTAATTAGTACTTCTCTTTTAGCTATTACTAGTACTTCTCTTTTAGCTATTACTAGTAGTAGTACTCTTATATTACTCTATTTAATATAGATGTTAGATACACTAGTAAGATTCTAGAATAGAGTTCGATTATAACAGATATACGCACTAGCTCTACTATCTAGTATCCACTTAATAGATTTAGTAGATTAGATAAATCAAGTAGTATTAATATTAGTAATATTTTAGTCTACTAATATAATTATAGAAAGACCTTTTTATAATTTAAATAAGCTCTAGTTAGTGCGCTTAGATAGATCATATTACTAATATTGATTAACTATATACCTATTTCTTCTATAGTAGATGAAGTGGTTTAAGCTTCTACTAAATTTCTAAGTTAATAAGTATATTTCTACATTCTAAGATTAATAAGATTAATAAGATTAATTATATCTATAATAAGATTAATAGTATCGATCGGATTAATAGGATAAATCAGAATAATAGGATAGATTAGATTAATAAAATAGATTCGATTAGTAAGATTTAATATAGCTCCGTTAGATTAAGCTATTTAAGCTGCTGAAGCTATTCTTAATAGATTTAAGACGTTTCGATTAGTTAATAATCTAGCTATATATCATACTAAGCTTAATTTCTTTATTAAATCTAAAGTCTTACGTAATCGCGGTAATAAGATAATTAAATTCTAAACTTAAATTATTAAGTATTAGCGCAGTAATAAATGAATTTGGCAGTTTAATTTAATAAGCTTTTAAGCTTAGAGTAAGCGTTAATAGCTTTTAAAGATAGATTTTAACGTAATTTTAGCAGCTTACGAGTGTACTATTAATTAGATCTTTATAGATTAAGAAATTAAAGCTAAACTCTTTCTAAGAGTATAGAGTTTTAAGATTATTTCATAGCTCTACTAGGCTAGAATACTCTTTTATCTCAAGTAGTAGTCTGTTTTTAAGGCTAAAAATAATTATAGCTAGCGCCTTTAATTCCTTTTCTTTTAATTTATTAAACGTATCTAGATATAAATCTCATATAAAATTATATAGATTTATATCTATTATGTTAGTATAATCTTACTAAATAAGAATAGATTAAATCCGCAGTACCTATATGTTAAAGTCTAAGCTCCGTTTAAGCTTTAGTACTTTAAAAATGCTATTAGCTATTATAATCTATTACATCGGCTAATAAGCTTATATATATACTAATACTATTATAGTTACTATTCTTTCTATCAAGAACTTTAGCTACTAATTAATATAGATTAATATATTACAATTAGCTAATCTAGCTTTAGATAAACCTAGTATCTAGTGTTTTTCATCTTCTTTAGCGGTAGTTATCTCTTAACCCTTATTATTACCCTAGCTCTTACTAAGAATCTAGCCTAAATAGTACTAGTTCTTACGTAAACGGTAAGCCTTTAACGTGCGGGATCAGTAAGCTGGGCAGATCAGTAAGCTGGGCACCCCGCCCAACCTAACCCGACGCTCTGCGCAATTGCTCTACAATAACGCAATAAAATAGAATAAAATTAAGAGATATTATTCTCTATATAGATTTACATAAGATCCGAGTATGCCCTTGAACGTGGCACTTCGTACACGTCGGCGGTGCGCGCTAACGTCGCTTACCAGCCTGGCTCTGGCTAGCCTCCATCACTATCCTTTCTGTCTCTGCAGCTATCTGCTAACCCTATTGAACCTGGAGTACTCCATCAGAAGCAATATATTAACGCTGCTGACTCTGCTTTTTTCGTTGACGCTGGACTTATATACGTAGCTTCTTATTCTCTGCAAGTATTGTTACTAACTGCATCGCTATTTAACAGCCTTTAATAACTTAGTGTAGAAGCTGGCTTGTTGGGCTTTGTGATTACCGATGGAGCCGTTCTTGAAGAAGCTTTGCCTGCTGCTGAAGCTGAGCTACTGTATGCGGTGTTTCTAGCTGCGTTGCGGCGTTATTATCTATAGTTGTCTGTGGTGGAGATGGTGTTCTAGCTACGGTGAGCGACGATAGAACGCGATCTAGATAAGGAGGGACAAGTCCTGTTGCTCGAAAGCCTGCCTGGATGTTCTGCTGCGTGAATACTATCGGCCGGATCCGCGTATAGGCTGCAAGGAAGTCTATCTTATTAATGTAGTAGACGCCTTAGCGGGTGAGCTCTTTAATCTCACGTCCGTACGCGCGCTTGAGCGGCGAGAAGTAGCTTACATTAAGCGGCTGGAGAAGATGCGACGTGTGTGGCGGCATGCAGAGAGTAATGATCTTATTCTTAGCGCAGTACTGGTCGAACTCTGGCGTAGCGTGGCTACTATGGCCGTCTAGAATAAGAAGCTGATAGACTCCAGCTGTACGAGCTGCTGTATGCTGATTATAGTGCTTCACCCACTCTACGCCAAGCTGATTAGTCGTCCAACCGTTGTCTAAGACACTAATAGCCTAGTCTAGTAGGAGCCCATTATACTAGCTGTTCTAGTGGACCTTACTAGATAAGATAACTAATGGTAGTAGACACCAGCCAGACGCATTAATGCACTTAATCGCTGTAACCCACTCGCGATTACCTAGCTGTATAATAGCTACTCGGCCGACTCTATCAGAGCTTATAACTACCTTAGACGTGCTAGCGACGCCCATTGCGAACCCAGTCTCGTTAAAGTTATAGGTATCCTGGTCTAAGACGCCGTACGTCTGGCGCGTTTCTTCTACTAGCTTAAACTAATGTTACAAGTAACAAGAAGAATTCTCTCCTTGACAAGTGACGAGATGGCTGAAGGCCTATGGACGTCCACGCCAGAAGGTAATGATCATCGCGGGGCGAGGATCACGTGATTGACATCACGCCAAGACGACCGTCAGACGCTAGTATGTGATGGCAGCAATCCTTTGATGGCAGCCATCAGGACATCAGGCCAAGCAACGGAAAAGTCGTGATGGCAGTGATGGCAGGACTGGAAGCAATGAGGATATAAGGATGGATGGATTTCATTATTACTCTCGTTGTGGTCAACTCAAATTATACTTTCTTACTAGTATTCTTTACTTCACAAGATAGTTACATGTTAGTCTATTGAATAGATTAGCGTTGTCAAACCCCGGTTACATCCATAACTCTTTTCCACTACGAATCGCCAGACAACTCTCACGGAGCTAGTCCCTAT